AAAAGGAGGCACATATTCTGGAAAGAGTACAGAGAGTAGGAACAAAATTAGTTAGTGGTATCTCACACCTTCCTTATGATAAGAGGATGGAGCATTTAAATCTCTTCCCGTTATCATACCGAAGGAAGAGAGGCGACTTAATTTTAGCATACCGTATACTTAAGGGTGATTTAGGAACTGACCTTTCTAACCTTTTCTCCCCTTCTAGGATACATTTACGGGGTCACCGCAAAAAGGTGCTCAAACCAAGGACGATTAAAATACGTGCAGAATTTAGATTCTCTCACAGAGTGGTCAACGATTGGAACTCCTTACCTGATTCAGTAGTATCAGCTCCATCGGTGAACGCTTTCAAAGAGAAGTTAGATCTCTGCAGAGATATACTTTGCAAGGATTAACACAGGCCACAAGAGCCTTCTATCCTTATCATCTGAATCTGAATCTGTACTAACACGTTAGGTAGAGTACTGATCAGGGCTACCCCAGGAAAGCAAGTTTAGTAGGTGCTGACGTTAAGGACTATCTAAAGGTTGACGTGGGCACTTACAGATGCGTTAGTTCAAAAACCGGTGGCAGCTGAACAGGGATAGTCCAGCTCCTCTACATTTGGTGTTTTGTGGTCGATTAGAGTTAGGGCTTCTTCCTTGACTTTATTCCTCTCCTACTGACTTTGAGAAGAAGTGAAATATGCTACTCATTTCAAATCTCGTCCCATGGAAATGTACGGCTGAAAAATGCTGGGGTTCATCAAAGTCGTGCATCAATGTTACTCATGTATAAACTCAGTCCACTGCAACAGACTTTCCATGCACCAGGCCAGGAATCACATATCATGTGAAAGCTAATAATATTGCATATTGCTTAGACTCTGTTAGGGCGGGCTTGAGACAATTTCTTTGAGTGAAATTTTCACTTGTACTTCGTGTTAAGGCCTCTAAGGACATAGATGGCAGTTCAAAAGTACTTTGTAAATTGGTTTCCATATTGTACATTATATCGTCCCTCAGTTGAGACAATTTCATTAATGTTAGCCGTTACGGAAGTCTCACCAAATGGACTTTGAAGACCAGTCAGAGTAGTCAAACTCAAGTGGTAGACATTAAATCATATTCATTTAGCAGCTTTTTCACTCCAACGATACACCTGTTACTCCATTATGGATAAGATTTTATTTTGATAAATCACAGTGTTGTACAGTTATATTAACTGATGACGTTTCAAACAAACTATTGCTCATAATCATATGATTATATATATTACTATATTATAAATATAACTGTACAACACTGTGATTTATCAAAATAAAATCTTTTTTTATCTAAACATCCTGTTCCTTCCCACTGTTTCAAAATTAGAATGTCTGCTTTAATGTGCGTACAACCCATGGTTGTGAGGAAACCAACCATTTTTAAGTCCGGAAAAGAGCGCATTAACCTAATCTTTAATCTGTATACGTTATGAAACGAAAACACTTGCATGTGTTCAAAAGTATACATTATTTTAATCTCAGATGTACCTGAATATATCAGTCGGCAGATATCATGTTTAGTTTTAGCTACGAAGTCAACGTCGATTTAGTATATTGCCCTGATCAACTCATTTAATAGAAGCCCATTCATCTGCATACTGGTTGGCGGGGAGTCATCTTCTGCAGTGAAGACAGCCAGTGTTGTTTTTATTGTAGAAGTAACGATGGATTTGATTCTACCAGCTGCATAAATTTTTTCGGACATGACATATGTAAGCAAAGGAGTGGGTATACTTCCGTTTCGGACTGGGCTACTTTCCGATACGAAAAGGGCTAAGTGGTAAAAATTGAGTGATTCATTTTTATTAGACCTGATAAAAGTGAGTAGAAAAGTGGTATGCGAAAATTTTAGCGGCCATGGGAAGAAAGGGGGGGGGAAACCGGGCAATTTATTTTGCATTTTGCCAGCTTCTCAACCTATCCGAATTGCCCGTTTGCCTCATGTCTCTCCCACTTGTCACATGTTCATCATCTGACTGGTGGTTGGGTTCACTATGTAATTGACTGACTCGACATCAGCTTAGTGTATTGCTGATTTAAAGTGTAGTGGTACATTTATTTTCAGGAAAGATAGGACAAAATACTGATTTCTGCTTCCTGGCGTGTGCGTTCTCTGACCTGGTTGGTTTACTTGCGTAGCATTTATTACCTTACTGCGCGACATCCTCAGCGCATACTTCAATTTGAGGTATGCTCCTAAATTTCTCCACGAGTTTACTAGACTTCTCCTTGTTACATCGAACGTGATTGGTTGTTTTTGTGTTTCCATACCCTCTAAGGTACTTGTATTGATGTTGAATGTTCCCTTGACCTGAAGTTTTTTTCATGTGGTTTACTTCTCATGGATTGGTAAATGTATGTCAATTTGTCAATTATTTGCCAATTCGCTTGGATTCCAGACATCTACAAAGTCTCTGGAGATTTCACTGTCTTCTCTATCTTAAATTTGAACGTTGTCCCAACTAAATTGATGTCTGCTTGTCTGTATGCGGTAATTTGAGCGATTGGATATCATGCCTTTCGACAGTCAATTTATATTCTTGTATGCGGAGACGAAAAGGGCGTCTACTTCGGTTAATGTAGTGTTTTTCGCAATTGTTGCAATTTTGGGTGTGATGTTGGTTTTATCTTTCTCTATTGAGTACTTTGTTTGACATAGAGCCGAGGGAAGCGATTTTGTTATTCTTTACATGGCATCAATTCCTAAAGGTTTGAGGTTTTGCAGTGATTTCTGAGACGTCTCTTGTATATCGTAGGTTGATTTGTTTGTGTTTTCCTTGGGGACCTTTAATTCAGTAGGTTGGGTTGGAGGTATATATATTTTGATGAATTTCCGTGACATCCATTTTTTGGAAGAAGTCCATGGGCTATTTTTCTCCAGTTTTCGTTAAGGTGGCAGTGCTGCAATGTGTCCGGGATCTCTTGAGTAGTATTTGTGTACAACCTGTTTTGTGTTGTATTGGGTTGTTGATGTTTCAATTGAGTATTTGGTCTGTGTGAGTTGATTTTCTGTGTACTTGAGTTTCCAATTTTCCCGTAGTGTCGCTTGAGTAAAGCGTCTAAAAGTGGAATTTCGTCCTCGTACTTCTCTCCTCATGTGTCGCTGAAGATGTTTTGTCTAAGTTGTTTCTTCTGTTTATCACGAATTTTTCATCCACGTGACGTATCCAAATTTTGGGTTTGGTCTTCGTCTTCGGTAGGATTATGTTTCTGAGTCTGAATCACAGCTCTACTAGCATTCCATGCTATCCTTACGTCTGCGAGTCCACGCGAATCAGGTGAATTTTTCAGACTCACCTTGCTGGTCATGTGGATAATCACATATTATGTGTGTCGGTGGCACAGCGGCAGAGTGCTCGCCAACCCTCAGGTGGTCCCGAGTTCCATCCCCGACCAAAGCACTCCTTTACCTCGGTAAGCCAGTAATAAGCCTCTGTCTGTCAGACAGATAAACAATAAGCCTTTGGCTTGAAGCTCTATGTTCCACTGGGAAAGTAAAGGAATAAAAGGTGTCTCTGAAACAGAACATTCAACAATGCCTCGAGATGCCAGAGTTCTGGCTGGTGATTCCTGTTGTCCGACATAGTAAAGGGTTTTGATGCTCCACTATAAAGTTGATAGCATGGTTTTAAGACATTTAGTGTTTTTCTGGTTCTCATCGTCCACTTACGGTCTCAGAGTTGAGTGGCAGTGAGGGGCAATGGAGACAAAAATGGGTGATCATCAGGAGAGCTTAGTGTGCTTCTGGAAGTGTGGGTGGCGAGTATTTCCTTTCTATAACGTGGAAGTAGATTTCTTGTGTTACCTGAAACACAAAGACCATTAATGTTGCGTGATCGCAGAGCCCAGGAGATAACTGCTTCAAACTGGTTACACACAACTTGTTTGAAGTGGATCTGGAGTTGTGTCCGCATTATGATCATACTACCAACTACGAACCACCGCAAGGTAAATTGGAATACACAGTTTTCGTGAACGTCTGAGGAGAGCCCTTTACTGTTGTTCCATCCCTGTTCACCAACAGTACGCTGCAATGTACTGGTAGTGCTGTCGATTACCTACACTCTGCCAATCCCTACTTGACGCTGTTTACCCAATAATACAGTACTCTACCTAACCTGTAAGTACTGATGACAAAACGCAAATTAAAAAGACTTGGATATTAGGGAAAATGTGTTCAAGTGCGGGGTATATTTGAGTGAGATAAGAGGTAAAGATTACCCAAGGATAAAGATCTAGAATTTATTTAACGGATATGGCTTTATTACAAACTCGATGAATTGGCGTATAGACAGCACAACGGTAAAGCGCAAAGTGGCATTGACACCAGTTCGTGTATGTACAAACTAAAACAAAGTCTTGAACGCTGGGATGTACACTACAACGCCTTCGCTCGTCCTTCCCGAACATAGTTTAGCGACCTACACTATGCTGGCGACTGCTTCTGGCCTAAACACGTTTCTGGCGTGATAAGACCTGCAGACACATTAGTTCCTGCTAGTGTAGCTTGTTGGGTCATCGCAATATACAAGCACTACCACCACGTTAAGATAGCCGCTCTCGGTCGGGGAATTAATAGAGATTTTTGTTGAAACATATAGAAATCCGTGATACACACTGGACACTCACCAGTGACTGTCACAAAATCTTACGCGGCACTATATCGCCTACCAAACTATTTCTTGTCACTGAGGGAAACTAAACTTTTCAGGAATTTTTGTTGTAAACTGTTGTACCATAAAATATTTTGAAGGATTATAAAGTTGCTTTGTTAAGAAATGTAAAATGCAAATGAGCTTTGGTCAGTGCTTGGTGTGCGACAGTGTCAGATACCACTCAGTGTTCAGAAGTACAATTTGTACCAATGTTCAATGATATGGAAGCCAACAATTTGCCATTTTCTCCGTACGAGTATGTCTTTGTACTATGGAATGTGTGCCTTGATCCTAGCTTTTCATCTTCATCTTTACAGGTCCTCAACCTTGTCCAAACGAATTCTTTTCATTACTGCTTAAGTCACCATGAAGAGAGCTGGGAAGTCAAATGATACGGACCCTCCACCCAAAATCCCTAAAACGAACGATGCCCTGTTTGCTGAAGGTGAAATCGTTAGTTGGCAAGTATGTTACTTTCTATTCAACTCGTTGCTTATGTTATTTTTTTTGCTATTACATCGATTAAGATCATGACTCTGGTAACTTATTCTTAAAAATCAAGTGTTTTTTTCATTTAACCCTATAGGCTACACTTCTGTTACCCATTCTGTTTTCCATAGACTCGGATCTAACATACTTAAAGTGCAGTGATCATTTGATTGGTTGAGTATTAATATACCATAACTGTGCCGCATTTTTTCAGATGAATGAAGTGATTAGAACTGAGCCCTAACCATCCTCAAACTTAATCCAAACGCCGATTAAGATGACCATAATAAATAATTGTTATAAGTATAAAACTTGGGCACTGTGATAGAGTATAACTCCATTAAAGATAAGATTTTATTTTTGACATGTCACGCAGGGTTATACAGTAATATTAACTGATGACGTTTCCATATCTACGGTATTTGTATTGGGTCATTTCTGTTACATGTGTTAGGTGTAGACTCAATGAACCAGGATTGAGTAATCTCTCTCTCTCTCTCCACCTACGTATATTACTTCTTAGAATTTTAACCCTCTCTCGCCCTCTTGTGTGGTTGTATGTTAATGCATACAGTGCAATCGCTGAGCTTTTTTCCAAATTACTTATTTATTTTTAGGGTCAACCATTCTTACGTTAGCTAAATTCTTATGTTCCGAAAATCTGACTAACCTCGACCTATTAGTTTGACCTATGTAGTTGACCTCACAGTCATTGCAAGGTATTTTGTAAATTATATTATTTTGTTTAATTGGGTCCACCGGGTCTTTTATTCCACAGAGCTCGTCTCTGAGTGAGTTTGTAGGTTTTAATGCCACACTAATTCTTGCTCTATTGAGAATCCTACGTAGGGTCTCAGATGTCCCCTCTTTATATGGTATAACTGTAGATGCCTTGTAGTCATGATGCTACAGGACTGACTAAATTGACTCCTAGCTTCGAAATAAGGGGTAAATTGGTAGAGCACGTTGACTACTTCACTTATATGGGAAGTTGCATCAGTCAGTTCCAACGAGTTGATCGCTGACGAAAATTTCAGCACTGATACAGAAGGCTCATTTTGACTTCACTCTGTGACCACAAACAACGGTGAGAGCCATAGAAACACCCCAGATACTCTTTTAAAGCCACGTCGCCAACTTCATATAGAAGCATTTAATGTCAGGACTCTCTGCCAAATAGGACAACAGGCATCACTAGCAAGAACTCTGGCATCTCGAGCCATGGATGTATGTTGTGTTTCGGAGACACGCATACAAGACCCGAGTGTGGTCATTCATTTAACCTCACCAGGTCAACAAGGTGAATCCTCAAAATTCACTTTAAGGGTGTCAGGAGACCCCTCAGCCAGCTCGTGAGGACTCGAAGCTGTAGGGATTGCACTGAGTGTTAGGGCGGAAAAATCACTTCTTGACTGTGTGTGCGGTCCGTCTGAATGGGTCCGTTAAAAGAAGAAAAGACGGAGCTACCCGTTGTTGCTTTTTTTTCGTAGTCTCCGCTTACGCCCAACAAATTGCAGTTCAGATGAACTAAAGGATGACTTCTACCTGAAACTGTCTAATTTGCTGCAAAAAGCAGAACTTTCCGATATAGTTGTTTTAGCAGGCGACTTCGATGCCGAAGTAGGGAAGTTGTGCCAGATTGATAAGGATGTAGGTGGTATGTATGGAGTTCCCTGTTGACGAACCGACAACGGTGATCGTCTTCTACAGTTTTGCTAAGCTAATCATCTGTTCCTAGTCAGCACTAACTTTAGCACAAAGAGAGACATTGTGTGACCTGGCGACCTCCATCACCAAATCAACACTGGACCACATAGCCATAGGGTATCGTTGGCGAGGGTCAGTAGAGGACTGTTGCTCCTTCTGGAACACGTGCGTAGACTCTGATCACGCCCTGGTTCGCTCACGTTTATGCTTACGACTAAATGGACATAAGAAATTGACGGTAGCGAAACAGTTACGTCATCAACTAGATAGAGACAGAGTCCCTATTTAAGGAAGAAATAGCGAAACAAGTTTTTGAGGTTGACAGCAGAACTTCGCCTGAGGAAGCCTGCCTGGCACAACATACAGTTAGTTGTAGACACAGCTGTAAAAGGTGGTAATAAGCTAAAACCAAAAGTTTGTAAGAGCCGTTGGATCTCTACCGCCTCATCCGAGCTGATTGACGCAAGAAGACTGATTCCGGCTAGCTCCGATTATGATGAGGAGCGAAAGCTGCTCAAACGAAAACTAACAAAAAGTTTTCGCCACGACCATGAACAGTGGTGGGGAACAAAAGCGAAAGAGATGGAAAAGACATCGGTGATAGGTAACACCAGACACTGTTTAGACTTTTCAGGGAAGCGGGTGGCAAAAGGCAAATGATAAGTGAAACAACCCCGAGGAAAATGGCACATTAATTAGCCCTCAGGAAAGAACAGTATGAGGAGCAGTTTAATTGGCCTACAGCCACGCTTAATCTGCGGAACAGCTAACACCTCCCTGGATGGGATATAGAAACAGGTCCTCCGTCCCCAAACCTAACTGCGGCTACGAAAGCTATTACTAATCTGAAACAAGGCAAGGCAGCAGGACCTCATGGGATGACTCCAGAGGTATTTAAGTACGGTGGAGACAGTTTACTGTCTGCATTAACTGAGGTACTAGACAGCGTCTGGGAATCAGAGGACGTCCCATCGGGCTGCTGTTGTAAGTCACTGATTATCCCGATATACAATAAGGGAGAAAAGTCTTCTTGTGATAATCACAGAGGGATTAGCTTGACTAATATAGTATCTAAAGTCCTAGGCCCAATAATCATGCGTAGACTAAGTGGTACTCGGGAGGCACAATTACAAGAGAACCAGGTAGGCTTTAGACCAGGAAGAGGGTGTATCGATCATATCTTCACCCTTCGACAGATTCTAGAACAGAGGCATTCCTAACGGCGTCCAACAATCATTATATTTTCTTGACCTGAAAGCGACATTCGATTCTGTCGACCAAGAGGTACTCTGGAGATGCTTGGCCGTGAAGGGAATGCCGAGAAAATACATTCCATTGATCAAGACACTCACTCTACTCGAACTCATGCCGTCAGCCAGGTGAGAGATTACGGCGAGTTGTCATCTGAAGTGGTGACAACTAGTGGTGTCCGTCAGGGATGCCCACTATCCCCATTCCTATTCAATTTCATCATAGATGTACTCATGGACTTAACCCTAACTACTGACTTCAAAGACTCAGGGATTGGCTTGCTACCAGGGAATAATCTCGCTGACTTAGAATATGCAGACAATATAGTCCTGCTAGGCGAGAACGATGACAAAACTAAGCTGAGTCTTCTGAACACCTTGAGCTGCAATCTACGAATGTTTGGCATGCGATTCGCTCCCGCCAAATGCAAGATGATGTTACAGAGCAGGACTGGACTACACTGACTCCTAGATTAGAAATAGGGAGTGAAGTGGTAGAGCACGTTGACCGCTTCCCTTATTTGGGAAGTACCATCAGCCAACGCCAACGGGTTGATCGCTGACGAAATCTCAGCTGAGTACGGATACAGAGGGCTAGTTCCGCATATGCCAGTTTACGCCGTCTCTGGCGTAGACGTGAAATCCGGCTGGCTTTCGACCAAAGGGCGAGTGTACTGCTCATCAGTCCGCTTCGTCCTCCTTTATGACTGTGAGACCTGGCCATTGAGAGTGGAAGACATGAAAAGATTAGGTGTCTTTGATCATAGGTGCCTGCGTTCTATCTTCCGTGTGAAGTGGTATAACAAGGTGAGCAATATTGAGGTTAGACGTCGGTCGAGTTCTAGGTAACGAGGGAGGGGAAATCAACCGACGAGGCTGTGAAACAACATCGACTGAGATGGTTAAGACATGTGTTACGTATTCCTAGTCATCGCCTTCCTCGACGGCCAATGTTAGCGGACATAGGGTCAGGCTGGAAAAGAGCTAGCGGAGGTCAAACAAAAACATGGCACCAGTCAACGAAATCTACAACAGTTAGTTTAAGCTAGCCACGTAGGAAGGTGTAGACTTCCTGACTGGTCGGGGTCCTCGGGACGGTAAAAACCAATGGTTGGGAACAATTGGTGACAAGGCTCAAAATCGTTCTCAATGGCTGGCGAAGATGCATCCACTCCCTGTGACTTATTATGACTATATAAAAACACGCGTATTTCCCTTATAATTGTAATGGATCATTAACATTCATACTATTATTTCTGAATGTACATTATCTCACATTGATTTTTAATCCAATTTCTAATCGATTCCACACATGTATGAAAATGAAAGAAAAAAGTTGTGTGAGTGACTTGATATGATCATGAGCAATAGTTTATGCTCGAAACGTCACCAGTTAGTAGTACTACTACTGTATAACACTGTGTGAATTATCAAAATAAAATCTTATCTATTATGAAATATATTCAGTGAAACAAAGTCGATCTTCAAAATTTTCGACACCAAATGTTACCAGTAGATTACAACAAACGAATAATCATCGGTAAGAATGAAATTTACTAGATAGCCTATAATTTGTCAGTCAGTTCAGACCATCTTACTCACTTAAGGTAGAGATAATACATAATGGCAGAATGTGTACAAACTTAAAACTTATTTCAAACTTATTGGGTTTTTGTTTGTGTTTAACGGCTGTAGCCACAGTAGTTCTAAATAAAATGACAAGGAAGTATAAACAGAATGGTCAAAGTGACTCAATACCGTTTGTGGCGATCAAAGTAACAACCACCGTCTTGGAAGTTTGTTCAGTATGTTTGTATGCAAGTGCTCTAAGAACTGTTTATGAAAGTTATAAACTCCAGAGATAAGAGGAAGGTTGAGTCTCCTAATAGGGTAGATAGAGTGGTGATAGAAGAAAATAGATGTACACCTGTATGAAAGTGTAAACCGTTCACGATAGAAGAAAATGATACCAGTATAAGCAGTAACGAAATTTCTCACTTCTCAATTGTTCTATGGGAATCCTAAAACCCAATTTCAAAAGTCTGTTGATAAAACAGATGTGTCAGCTCTTTTGCATCCGAGCAAATTAAACTGTAGTGTACCATCCTCAAAAGGAGAGGTTAAAAACTATACGAATAGAGCTGTTTAAGTGTTAAATCTTACATTGTGGGGGAGAAAAAGCAGGCGTCGTGCGATATTTTCATTACCTACGCGCCTATCAGCCAGAAAATAAAATCCCAAGCCGATTTCTTGTTGGAAATTACATTTTTGGTGAATAGAAACAGACATTGCTACGGAATAATGGTGATTTTGGTGTAAATGCGTTCTCTGAACTGGATAGAGCATTCATTGTCCTACTGGGCAATGTCCTCATCGCATACTTTAGTTTGAACAGGATGGAATTCTCAGTATTTTCACAATATCGCACCTAATTTACTCAAAATACAAATCAAATTAACCACAGGAAATTGTCCACACTTAATGTAAGAATAAAGTCAAAAATGTGCAGATGAGAATAATAACCAAAGTATTAGTAATGGTAATAGTAACAGTGGATTCGTTTCAAACAGTATTGTTGATACAGTTTAAAATTTTTAGAATGTTATAGATTATTGAACCTGATATTCTCCTGATATAGTACGGTGAAAGGAAAAGCAAAAAATAACAATTATCACAGAACTTAAATGATGTTTACATTTATATAAATATGAACAAAAAAGAATAATAATAACAGTAAAGCTTGGTGAAATAAGAATTGAGAAAATGGCTTATTTACTAGTTCATCCCTGACACTATTTTTAGACTTGGACTTGCACCCATAAAGTCTTTTGAAATGACTTCTTGTTTTATTGAATTGAATTTTTGATTTTCCCGTCGATTGATTGGACCGAAGTGCTCGGTCTCAGGTTGACATGTCGGCTTCTTGTGCAGATGCTTCGACGATGTCTGGGCATTTAGTTAGTATACAATTGGTGGATGGTGGCTAGCAGTGGAATCCAGGATGCGCATTTCGTCCTATTTGGGACTCGTCAGCTGGATGTACCTGCATTTCTCAGTGAGTGATGATGTTCCCACTGAGGCTCGAACCCAGTACCCATAGTTTCAAACGCCAAAGCGTTATCCACTAGACCACTTGGGCCACGAGAGCCACCTCTTGTGCGACGGGTCATATTAATTATTGAATTGAATTTTTGATTTTCCCGTCGATTGATTGGACCGAAGTGCTCGGTCTCAGGTTGACATGTCGGCTTCTTGTGCAGATGCTTTGTTACATGAAATCAAGTGCCTTTCAGTGACGATGTAAACGATTTCCAATGAAACTGTTTTGTTCTTCGTTATTACTCTTCCTTCGTCTCACACCCTGCTTACGGTCTTTATTATGCTTTTCTTCTCTTGCTTTGTGTGCTAAATGGAGTGTGGCGACTTGAACGGAAATAGTTCAGGACTATCATTGACGTGAGAAATAGTATGGATTTGCTTCTGTACTGTACTGCGGAGTCAATGCACTCAAAACACAAGTTTGTTTGTTGTTCAAGATGAATAAGAAACCTAATATAATAAAAATTTATGTTAATCACTCTTGATAACTTTTGCAGATGGGTTGGTTTTAGTGACTTCAAAATGTTGTTTACTTGCCTTATTCTTTTTCTCATTATACTCTGATTCACATTTGCAAAACAAAGTGAAGTTAAACTTTTTGCTTTCGATTTCGAGGCTTCATACATCGAATGTTTATTTGCTAAAATACATAGTCATCTAGTATTGCTTATTGCATAGTTTACTACTCATAATCATATAAGAGCTGTTCAGTTTTCATCATTTTTTCGTTGTTAGCTCAATGAAATGGTGCAGCGTCTTTTTCAGAAATATAGGAAGAAAAATCCCCATTTAGGGAACAAAATGATTGAGCGGTGAAATATTTACTTTTCAATTAGATCCTCATATCTATCTCTCTTCCAATATACATTTCTAATACAATACAAAAATTTATCAATCTAATGGTGATGAGTTTGTTAGCAGTTATTAGTCAGTATACAACAATTAACCAGTAGAAATGATTCCGAAAATTTAACCATTTGGGTTCATAATGCATAATTTTGGAAAAATAAAAGGATTAATTAAAAAAAATGAATGTATGTTCGAAGTGATTACGCGATAGACGACTGAAGATGAAGTAGTTAGGATAAAATATTTACTAAAATGAACACTTGTAAAAGGTCTAAGGTTGGGGGGGGGAGGAGGAGAAATTCTCAGCTTTTTACTTTCATGTAATGATGACCAAGGTGAGGAAAGTGACTGGACGAATTCCTTCTGAATACACAAGCCTATTTTCTTCAGGTGAATTCCGACAGTCTTAGGTTGTACGTAGAAAAAACTAAGTCGTAAGGGAGAAATTGTCCGAAATCTGTTGCGCTAATATTATAACAATTTTCAACAAATTACGTCTTATTGATTCGTCGAAATTCATAAATAGAAGTAATTACTTTGAAATTAATATTAGTCTGAAATACGATAAGTAGCTTTATATGGTTAATTTATATCATCTCAATATTTACAAGGTGCGCTAAAACAAAGCTACGAACAAATGTTGATTGTCTCTGGTCTAACTATTCAGAATGATCTTAAATGCTGTAATGAACATACCTAGTTGTTCGCCGAATGTAACTAGCTCCCCATGAGCAGTTAAATTGGTAGTTATACATAATGGAGGCAGGAAATGTAGATGAACTACCTAATTTCGCCTCATCTAGTTTCTAGCACTATCTTTAAATTAATTTCTTTTGACCCCTAATTTTTTAAAAAATTTTTTTTATAATAAAGGCGGCACTGGGTTGTTCGTTAGCTGAAAGACTTGAGAAAATCAGTATTATGAAAAATTTAACGACTCGTCAGCTTAAGCGATTGCTGAAGGATGTTCTAACTAACGAAGATGTTGTCAGTGCTTTAGGCAGATATATTGATGGAGAATTTAAGGAGCCCGAAACTGGTGAAATTTCAGCCGCAACACGGAGACGAGCCAAATCGTTGGGATTGTTTTCCATACTTAGTGAACTTGGAGTAACGTCAAATCATAATTTACAATCCAGAGCTGTTACTCGGTAATTTGTATTTTTACAGCTTTTGTTACTTAAAAAATAAGATGGTCTGTTGTAACACTCGAATAAAGTATAATTATATTTCAATGACTTACACACAATGATAAGTTTTGTTATTGGTAATTTTTCGAGCAAAATTACCAATAACAAAACTTATCATTGTGTGTAAGTCATTGAAATATAATTATACTTTGTTTGAACTATTCCACAGTGCTCAAAGTTTTTACTGACATTAATGTCGCAATACTGCCCATTTCTTATTCTGTATTTAATGAAAGTCATTTATGGTGATACTCTAAATGGCCTTAGTTACCTGGCTGACTCATACACTTATTTTAAAGGAGCTCAAGAATGATCCTGTTTAAGATCGAATACAGCGTCTACTAGATGTGATTTGTTCAAAAGCATCACGAATATGTATGATATAATGTCATGATTATTGCTGGAGTGATGTAAGATTTGGTCAGACTGTGTTGGTTCTACCGCTATTCTTGCGGTGAGCGATTTGTTTTGAATTTCTCGAACTTTTAATCAAAAGTAAACGTTCCCTGAAATAGCTCGGGACTTATTTATGCATATACAGAGAAAGAGAGAGAGATTAGGCTCACATTAGCCTGCTACATTTGTTGTTCTTGTTCAACATGACCCCATCCGATATGAATTGTCCGGCCGGTAATAACACCAGTTTTTAGTAGAAATAGAACAGATGCTATCTGTATATCTATTGCAAGCATTTTCAGTATTCACATTACTTTATCTCCTGCTTAATTTATACCAGAGAATCGACTCCACTTATTTGTTTGTTTTGAACTTTTTCAGATCACTTACTCGTCGAGTCGAAGAGTCATTACCAGACCACTTATCACATCCTCTTCCTACAAACAAGTTTGTTGCAAATGTATGTTCTGAGGAAACTGGAAATTGTGATCCTACTGCATCATTTCAACTAGAAAAGACTATTGAACAGTCACCACCTAGTCATTCTCTAAGCTTTCTTGATAAGGATGAAGACGAAGAAAGAGAAGCAGATACTGTAGAGGAAGGAAATACTAATAACAACACGAGAAACAAAAGTGTAGATGCTAAAAATCCAGACAATGATGTTTACTCTCAGTTTCTTCGATCATTATTTGCCTCTCCTTGTAATTCATCAAACTGTACACCTAATAAAGTATGTTATGGAATATGCATAAATGACATCAAATGTATTTACTTGTTGCACTTTCCATCACTGTTTGTTATATTTGTAGAGTATTTCATTGACTGTCATATGTTATTTATTAACCTACGTTATAGGATGTTATTAAGTTATAGCATGGAAAGCTTTATCCATGTACATATCTTTATTTTTCGTCTTCTCTTCACAACGGTTCCTTAAGTATCTGCTTTTCCTTCATAAAATTTCGACCGGTAGCTTTCGTATTTGAAAGTGGTTTAATGAGAGGCACATAAGTCATTGGCGGTGGATAACCAGTCTGTTTCTGATCACCCATTTAGTGTGTCCACCCTTTACGTATCATTATTTGAGATAAGTATCATTAGAGACTTCTATGATCCCAAATTAGATAAGGAAAGGACATCGGTTAGAGAACTTTTGAAAATACAGTCCGGTATTATGTGTGTGTGTGTGTCTTTGAGGAGTCCCATACCAAGACGAAATAGCCGCTGAGTTCCCCTTCTCTTCCAGTGTTTCTCTTATTGATATCATTTCGTGGTCGGACCTTAAATTAACTAAATCCCTGCAAAGCAACACTTGAAAATCTTTGAATGCTTTTAGTGATTTTTAAAGTACAATGGACATTTCGAAGAAGTGACGGTGACTGAGAAGTGGATAAAAGCAGTTGTGAAACAATTAAATCACCTGTTGAAGTGATATTGTCTGCAGTAGGTATCTTGATATACGAATCAATCTAAATTTAATAAAATGTATACTGAACAGTTGTGGGATCCGTTGTTGATAAATGTTTTTCAAACTTGATTGCTACATTCCAAAGTCAGTAAAGATTCTACTACTATTCCGTTTTTTTTCCAACCATCACTTTGGAGAGATAATACACTAGACTATTGATGGTTTCAGAAGTTATTATTGTGTCTCCTCTATCTGTCTTGCCAGAATGTGATAAAATAAAATATGACTGTTAGCCTGTTGTGTATTAATTTTTAATACCGGCTTACTGTAAGAACCACTTAAATCTTGTGCGTGCATTCTCCTGTTTTCCAATATTGACTTTTAAGCGTAGGAGATAAATTCTTGGTTACTTTCTGTGAATGTCTATAGACTGTTGATCTAAATGATAATATTATTGTTTTAATGGCTGCCAATGAATTCTATTATCATTCCTTCCTATTGTCATTTTTATTTATTCATAGTCCAACTCACAAATAACTACTCCAATAAAGTCAACCGCAATCTGTGCAAATCGCTTAAGAGATGACTCAGATGGCGTTGAACCTCCTTCATCAGATAAATGTCATTCTGATTTTCAGAATTCTAAGACAAAACTATCTTCTTCACAATCGCTTATGGGATGGAATATAAATGTGGATGAGGACGAGGATCCAGATGATCCAGAATTCGATGTAATGGCCGAATTGGATGAAGTTGATAGGGAGGACTTTTTCTATGAACTGAGAGACGATCGTGCTGTGCGAGTATCGAAGGTGGAAACAAAAGTCAGTAACATTTATTGTAGTTTTATTCATTTAATCCTTTTTTATCAGATATGTTGTGTTGGTTGATTTATTACCACCTACTTTCATCTTCTTGTTCCTTTCGACTTTCGCTAAATTCACAATATGGCACAGCTGTTGTTTTCACAGTTAGGCTGACATACGTTAAAACTTCGAGATGGTATCCCATTCAGATTATCTTCCCTATTTCATAAGTCTTATTGGGCTGAAATGATTGGTTTTTACTGCTCAGTTAAGAACAACGTCTGAGGCAATTTCGTTATCCCATTTATTGTATCACTTGCGTTTCAGCACACCATCATATGACGTCAATTTTATGAATTTTTGTCTTTAAATTTTCGAACACCCACCAATCTTTAATTATTCCTTTGTCGTTAATATTCACATTTGTTTTTTTAAATGCTCTATATTTGTTCATTTTGTCTTTGTGTTCTGCTTTTAAAATATGCCGAATTGAAGTGATGTACGTGCGTAACAATTCCTACATTGGTCTGTTCACCACTTGTTTCTTTGCTGATGAATTGCTTGAAATATATATAACATTTTTTGAACTCCATAGAAATCACTCAGAAGTATGACTTTTTAACACTTCTGTTAGTGGACTAAAATAGTTACACAGGGTGGCATTCAACAACTAATTGACCTAATTCAGTCTTAGAAGCACCTAATCATCACCTGAGTAGTTTAACGATAGAGTCTGATTCAAACAGTGAAAGACGGATAATTGAATCCTAGAGGGGATATGAATTTCTCTAAAGGCGCAGAAATACCATTCTGATAGGCATTAAGCTTATTTCAAGCACAATTTCCTATTGATGTTTGATCCTTCCGAATATTGCATATAGAATTACAATGCGTCGCAGTAATGTTTCACTTAGTTTAATGACCACACTCTACACCTGGCAGAGGAATTTTGATCAACACACGTAGGATTACACATTTGCACTGGTTAGCATCAGGTGACCTGCATTATTGGCTCTGCTGTCTATCGACGGACCCACGGAAACTAGCTTGTTCAAATCCCATTAAAAGACAACTTTTCATTTCACTCTCGGTCATCATTGTTAATCCACAAATCTATGGACAAATTAGCTGGTCTTACCAGTAATTGTGAGGTTGACAAACACTATAGAATTCTACAGAAATTGTTTTCTACAAGTTGAAAGGTTTATACGATAGGCAGCAAGAAAGCCCAGGCAAAATTGAGTAGGAAGTTCACATTGACTTTCATCTTCTGATTAGTTAAATAAATGTATCATATCATATCACTATATCACCTCTATTTGACATCCGTATTTGATTGTGCTTGGTTTTTAAGCATAGATACCGTGATTACGAAGGTATCATTGACAAATAAATCTGTTAACACTTTAAAGTAAGATTGCAATATTGGTTCAAGTCTTTGTGTCATTAGGCACATAAAAGTCATTGATATATTCCAATACTTATTGGCAGATGAAACCAGCAGATATTCCAAAGTAGTCAAATGTTTTTAAGGTGTAATTTATCCAATATATTATACTTCATTTAAATATTTTTGTTCCTTCTTAGAAACTACACTCAGATTTACGGGCACTGTTTAACTGTGGAGATGAACAAGAAAATTGTACTTATAAATCAAGGAGACCGTCAGTTCTAGCAATGAAAGCTTATCGTCAACGCCTGTTACAAATGAATCGTACCACACCAAATCAAACAGAGAAATTTGACATGACCCGTTTCTTTCAATCCGCCTTGCCTTCATCGAAGAACGTGAATACATCTGTTGTTTCAATCCCAATACGCAAAAGAATCGCGTTAGTTCTACTTATTACTCATTTTTGATTGTCAGTTTATTTACTGGTCAGCTGGTGTAGAAATTCGAATTATTTAGTTATAAGCCTGGGCTATTTTCCAACAAGCAATATTTATCGTAGCAATTAAAAATATTAATCACCATATAATAGACGTGTCTAGGCTAGGAACTTACGCATCATTACCGAATCGCTTCAGCTGTTTTAAGATGAATATTACTTGTAAACTACTTTCTCCACGTTGTGCGTCGGTGGCACAGCGGTTAGCATGCTCGCCGACCATGCACATGGTCCGGGGTTCGATTCCCTGCCGACGCACTCCTTTACCTCACTTATCCAGTAATAAGACTGGTAAAGAGGGAAGGTTGGGCATCAGGCTAGCAACCTCATCCTGTAAAAAATACACATTGCTACAGAGACTTCAAGCCTCTAGCTTGAAGCCCTATGTTCCACTGGGAACGTGTAGGAAATAAAAAAAAGTTTTCCACCAACGAGCGAGCTATATAATTTGTTAGTAATTCTAGATGTCTTTTTCTTTGTAGTGACTAACGTGTATTGTTGTCCAGTGATGCTCCAGTTAAATTTTAGGAACAACCACAACGTGACTTCTTATAGGTTGTATTCAACTACAATTTCACGGAGATGTATCTGAAATAACACGCAGTGATACAGTATGGATACTGGATGACGTTTGGAGAGCAATTTATTGCTTATAATCCTATCAATGCATTCACACAGCTTCATGATTCACGAGATATATAAATGTATATTTCTCTTTCCCTTGTTATTCATTGAAATTTCCCATATATCCAAAAGCACAAAAAGCCTCCGGATCATCATTTATATCTTTGCAGCTGTCACCCTCATCATCTCACTTCCCCAATACTGTCAGCAGTAATTTTCAGGCTAGCCCGTCATCTTCATCCTATTTTGTGACCAAAATTATGATGACAGCTATAGAAACAGCCCCGATGGCGTCTTAAAGGAACGCCGCCGAATTCATATTGGAGCATTTAACGTTGAGACCCTCTGCTAAATCAGACAACAGACATCACTAGCGAGATCTTCTGGTATCTCAAGCCATGGAGGCATGTTGTCCTTCGAGTTAGGCAAACAATACCCTTGTGTAGTTATTGATTTAGCCCCACTCGATAAACAAGGTGAATCTGCTAAATTCTCCTTGACGGTATCCCGAAACTCCTCAGCTAGCTCGCGGCGACTCGCAGGTGTAGGAATGGCATTGAGTGTAATGGTAGGAAATCACTCCTTGACTGGATCCCAGTAGAAAGTCGTTTGGGTACAGTCCGTGTGAATCGGACCGTCAGAAGAACGAAGGACAGCGCCACTCGTCATTGTCTTTTCATGGTCTCCGCTTACGCCCCAACCGACTGAAATTTGGATGAACTAAAAGATGATTTCTACCTGAAACTGTCTAGTTTCCTGCAAAAAGCAAAATGCTTAGATATAGTTGTTTAAGTAGGCGACTTTAATATCGAAATAGGGAAGTTATGCCAGATTGAGAAGTCTATAGGTGGTACGTACGGGGTTCCCTGTTGACGAACCGACAACTGTGATCGTCTTCTAGAGTTCTGTTCAGAAAATTGTCTGTTTCTAGTCAGCACTAACTTTAGACACAAAAAGAGATATTGGCTAACCTGGCGACCTCCATCTCCAGATCAACGTTGGACTGAAATAGACCACATATCGATAGGCTATGGTTGGCGAGGGTCAGTAGAAGACTGCCGCTCCTTCTAGAACACACGTGCGTATACTTCGACCACGCCCTGGTTTGCTCACGTTTATGCTTACAATGAAATGGGCATAAAACACTATTGTCAGAGAGGCAGTTACGTCCCCAACTAGATGAAGACCCTGAGTCTAAATTTAAGGTAAAATTGCTAAACGTATCGGAGATGGACAGCGAGACTCCTCGTGAGGAAGCCTGACGCAATATACAGTTAACTGTAGACACAGCTATAAAAGCTGTTAATAACCTGAAACCAAAAGTTAGTAAGAGCCAGTGGATTTCTACTACCTCATCCGAACTGATTAAGGCAAGAATACTGATTCCAGCGAGCTCCGAAAATGATGAGGAGCGAAAGCTGTTCAAAGGCCACCATGAACAGTGGTGGGGAACAAAAGCAAAAGAGATGGAAAAGACATCAGTGATAGGTAACACCAGACACTGTTTAGACTTGTCAGGGAAGCGGGTGGCAAAAGGCAAATGATAAGTGAAACATCCCCGAGGAAAATGGCACATTAATTAGCCCTCAGGATAGACGACTGGAACGCTGGAAAGAACACTTCGAGGGGCAACTTAACTGGCCTACAGCCACATTCAACTAACCGAGAATCCAACACCTCCCTAAATGAATGAGATACAAACGCCGGTCCTCCGTCCCCAACCCTAACTGAGGTTACGAAAGCTGGCGCTAGTCTGAAACGAGGAAGAGCTGGTCGAATGACTCCAGTGGTGTTTAAGGACGCTGGAGAGAGTTTAATGTCTCAGTTAACTAAGGTGTTAGACAGTGTCTGGGAATCAGAGGACGTCCCGTTGGGCTGGTGTAAGTCATTGATTATCCCCATACACCACAAGAAGGGAGACAAGTCTTCCTGTGATAATCACAGAGGGATTAGCTTGACTAATATGGTCTCTAAAGTTCTAGTTTGAACAATAATGTGGTTACTAAGTGGTGCTTGAGAGGAACAAAGATGCCAGAATCAGGTAGGCTTTAGAGCAGGAAGAGGGTGTATCGATCATATCTTCACCCTTCGACAGTTTCTACAACGCAGGTTGCATACTTACCGGCGTCGAACAATCGTCATATTTCATGACCTGAAAGGGACATTCGATTCCGTCGATCGAGAATTACAATGGCGATGTTTGTCTTTGAAGGGAATCCCGGGAGTATACAAGGCACTGATCAGGGCACTTAATCTATTTTCAACTTATGCAGCCAACCAGGTGGAGGACTACAGAGGGTTGTCAGCAATTCAGGTGACAACCAGTGGTGGGCGTAAGGGATGCCCATTGTCCCCATTTCTATTTGATTTCATCATAAATGTACTGCTAATGAACGCAACCCTAACTGACTTCCGAGACTGACTTGTTTCCAGAGAATAATAGTCACGTTGACTTATAATAAGCAAATGATACAGTCCTCCCTGCTAGGTGAAGACGCTAAGAAAATGCAGAGTCTTCTGAACACCTTGAGAATTAGCAATCTTCGAATATTTGGCATGCGATTCCCTCCTCTAAAATGTAACATAACGTCACAAAACTGGAATGGACTGCACTGGACTACGTTGACTCCTAGTTTAAAGATAGAGGTTGGAGTGGTGAAGCGTGTTGACCACTTCCCTTGTTTGGGAAATTGCATCAACCTATCCAAGCGGGTTGATCGCTGACGAAATCTAAGCACGCATTCAAAGGACTCGTTTGTCATTTTTCAGCCAACCTAGGCAATCTCTGGCTCAGTAGACGTGATATCCGACTGGCTATCAATCAGAAGACGCGTGTACTGCTCAGCAGTCCACTTCATCATCATTTATGGCTGGCTGTGAGCCATGGCCATTGGAAGTGGAGGACATGGAAAGCCTGACTAGGTGTCTCCCGTGTTAGGTGATATAACAAGGTGGGCGATACTGAGGTGGGGCATCGGTCGAGTACCAGGTAAAGTGAGGAAATCAATCGATTGAGATAGTTGGGACATGCATGTGTCGCGCAGTCTCTCTAGCCATCGCCTTCCTCGGCGGGCGAATAACCAAATACGCTTGTGCATGACTCCAATTCAGGTGAACACATTATCCGCATTCCCTAATAGGCACTATGGCAGGAACACTTAGAGAATCAGTTCCACACTATGTTTCTTTATTGTTGCTATGATTCTTGTTACGAGTTAAGGCGTCATGTTTTTTTATCTAGTCAAGTCATTTTGGAGTCATTATTAGTTAACATTTTATTCCACTGCATTGAACTAAACTGCTGAATGTATTTGATGCCTTTGACTTATCAGAAATCGGTGTCTTGCTTCGGTCTGTTTGTTTAAACTTGTTTTTGGACGACATAGACCGCATATATGTTGGCTGGTAGCTTACCAGAAACATTGCCTATACTATTTCATAAATAGTCTGTACTAAATACTTCGTTAAATAATATCAAGTAGAAAATAGAGTTCATATATATCACTTCGACTAACTGAAGATGTTCCACTAGTTTTAATGAATTTATGGTCAACAAAATGTCTTTATGAGTATACCATGTTCAGGTAACACTCAACAGTGTAAGTTCAATTTATAAATAATCGAATCCCACTGCATTTCTTAGAGAGACATTTATAAAGTTGGTTGTCATAATAGAATGAGTGTATGTGTCATGTGTAGAATGAAAACTGAAAGCCGACGAAAGACCATTGAATGACAGACATTTGGGTGTGAATTATTAACATACCGTTAAATAGAGTATCTGAATTATTTTCCATTTGCAAAATTCATTCTACATTTGAAAGGAAGATATCGAAATCTGAATGAAAACTTCAGCTGCAATCGGATTCACACTAATGACACTCGTACAAATGTAGTTTATTTCATTGTATACTAAGTAAAACTGGTTGAACATATCTCCTTCCTATCTGCTAAATATTGTTTGATATTGATTCAGCTGTCTATGCTATTTGTAAATCCATAAATTGTATATTACGAAACTGTGCTTAAAATTATTTATTAGGATGACAAGCTAATTTATCGCTTAAATCGATCTCTTTCTATGCCATCATAAATTGATGTTATGTCCATTGTTGTTTCAGATTAACAAGTACAGAACTAGTTCGATTAGAACGCCAATTGGGAATGCACATACAGTTGTTGACTACAAGTTTCCTGCTCACTTATGATTTTCCTGATATGCACGAATCAACGACTCGACCATGTGCATCTCTTCTCAAAACTTTGGTTGCCAAGCGTCAGGCTTTTGATTTAGTCGCGCTTCAAAAAAAAGTATCCGGTGCAATTCATTCTGTAACTAGCTTCTATTGGCGTTGTCCTACCCTAGACATGGCTGTTGATTTGATTTCTGATTACTCTGGATTGTCTATGCTTCCTCGTTTACCATGGAATCCTTATAAGCAGGGAGTAGGACATATGTTGACTAAATCGCAATCATTTGCCTTCCCGATTCCATACTGTTTATTGGATATAATGATCAACAGTCCTATTTGGTCTTATGCTTATTTAATGCCTACCGTCTTGGGACCTCATCCAAAAAGTCATGTTCGGCTAGTATTTCATCCGTCAGAAGATGCTTTGATGATAATGGGACTGGCAGATTTTTCAGGTGCTTTAACCCGCTGTCGTAGAGCTCTTGAATCTAAAATGTCTAGTCAACGTTGCTTCTCAAGAAGTTTAAAGTCTCAAAATAAACAACCAGGACGTTATATTGCCTATCGTTTAATCGGTAGGTATATACTTCCACATCGTACATTTTTACAGCTGCGCTCTCGTCGATGGAATCTGTTAGCTAATCGTGATAGCATAGATAACGCAGGAGATTCAAAACCCGTATCAGTTGCCACTCGTTATCTACTTCAACTATATAAGGAACTAAGTCAACCGGGTGAAGTAGATCTTAAAAGGATGCAACAATATGCTAATGAAATGAGTTCTCTTGCTATTCCTTATGGTATACCACTGATTACCTCATGTTTAACTGATAGGAATCCTCAGGAACTGTTTACTTTCGAAGGACTTCCGACTGAAGTAGGTTATGAGGATGTATTAAGTTATAATAACTTCTGCGAAAGCGTAAAACGCAAGTTGGATGTACTAACTGAATTCACGCAAAATGCAAACTGCTTTTGGAAATCTCAGATGGAAAAAGCATCTAGAACAGAAACAAACTACTTGTCGGTTTTAGACGACGAATCCATGATCAAATCAGAACAACCTACTCAATGTGATGTTCTCGGTCCAAATTACCTACCTGCTATACCAGTTGATCTTAATCCTGATGGGTGAGTTATCATGTTTTGAACGGTATGCTTATATATATTTATATTTATAATCATCCGAATCCCTTCGCGTGGAGTGGTTTTCGAAGCTTAGACTCGGTTTAACTGCGAATGGGAAGTGGAGACCGATGAACCACGTGCATATTTCACATTTCATAACAAGTTTTGTTTTGTATCGCTTACTTGACTTTTCTTGTCTTACAAATTCTTATGTAATTCTCTTTTCAGTACTGTGGTTCTCAGCAGAACTAGAGAGCCTAGTTTGGTTGAAGTTACCAGGGTCACAGATGAGGCTGGGTCAATTTCCAATGAACACCCGAGGAACTTACCAAGCTCAGAAGTACAGCATGGTCCTGTTTGTCAGCGTGTTACATCACATCATATTGAATTTATCTTAGCCCGTATTAACAAACGAAAGTCAGGTAGTTATACAAACAATAGTGAAGCACGGAGCGTTGCAGATTGCGATATTTCGAATTGTGTTGTGACGCATGGAGTTAGGGATTTTATTCAAGGCGAAGAACAATTTAATGAAATTTCAAATGTTTTCGAATCTCATTACAATAATACTGGCAATGTAGCGCTAGATGCTTGTCAAAAGGTAGCTGATTCTTTAGTGAACACCTTTCATCTCGGTTTGGATAAATTTTTCGGTGATTATGGAGACACATATTTTACCTCAAAGAAGTTTAACCACCCTGGGTGGCTCGGTCATGTCCAGCCTATTCCGGACTCTCCAGTTGTCACTAGTGATGAGTGTCAGAGCCAACAAGCTGGTGTTTTCCCCAGTGCTTGTTTTGTGTCTTCCAGTCGTTTCATTGCACGTTGTCGTGCACGTGGAGATGCTACTTCAGCTGACCTTCTTACCTTGCCATCTTCGGTTATAGGTCAATCACAAACGCTAATGGATGAAATGGATGTCAGGCGGGCGCGTTCCTTGTTAGATCGATGTCGAACTTATTTAGCTCCCTCTAATTACCGGTCTATGATGCGTGGCTTAATGAATCTTAATCAAGCTGTTCATTATCCCACATCAGCGGATAGTAGTCATGAAGTTCTGGTATCTCTTGCATGTGTATTGAATTGTTTGAAAAACCATTTACCATTGTGGGAGGATTTCGTTCGCTTTCTGACTCCATCACAAGCCCGTAGTTTGGGTCTGCTGTCCACCTACTTGAATTTAGCTCGCATTGGTCGAGTTCAAAGGGTTTTGCAAGATATTGTTCCTCAAGATAGGAGGTTTTGGAGACGACTGCGCAACTTGGCAGACAGCTGTAGTATTAAAGCACGTTATATGCCAGTTAAAAGGAAGTTATATGTGGGTCCAAATGATGCGCCTGCTGAATCTTCAAACACATCCAAAAATCCCAGCAGTTGCAACGAAAGGGTATCTGATGAAATCCAGACCACCCACAAATCGTCTATGACAGAACAAAGTCCTGTGGTGGATGGCAATCAGCTGAAGTCTCCACGTTTTAGAAGTGTGCAGCTGAAAGGTGGAGATATGCATGATTCGTTTGCCAAAGCGTGGTCAGTTCTTGAGCGCAGCTGGCGCAATCGTCCTGTCCTTCTATCTTCTATCGCTAGTCTAATTAACACCAGACACAAACCTTGTTCTGGTTTTGAACAGGTGAGCTATCACGTGAATACATGCTTTACTTTTTAACATACTGTAACTTTTTTATCTTAATTTAAGAAGTCTCAGTGGTGTACATATGTCCAACTAAAATTACAATTCAGGTATGATCGCTCGTATTCCTCGCATTTCGAAGAATCGAAAGGTGGTTTCCACTGTCTTTGATTTGCTCATACTTATAAGTGCTTAGAGTAGACATTGTTATACGTGCTACAGAAACTTGTGCAATTTCTACCTAGTTTCATACTATTTGCATTCATACAGAATGTATGTTCAATAAAATATCGTTGGAAACGCCAAAAAAATCGGTTTCGGTGTTCCCTGACTAACTGGTTTCAACGTAGAACTTTGCACAGATGTGCAGCAGTTCGAGCTGCCACACTTCCCTCATGTAACACACAAAGCAAGGGAAGAGAGTAAAGACAGATTCATAAGAGAGAGAGAGAGATAATAGACTGGAATATGAGGCAAAAAGAATAGTAATATGGAAACACAACAGAGTTTTGTTGGATATCATAAATCACGAGGAGTGAATGGATCTGCTTTATGCATTGAGACCGATTTTGAGTCATTCACCGACTGTTTCCAGCTATTGGTTCTTACCAACCCGAGGACCCCAACCGACCAGCCGGTCTACACGTCGCTACGCTACGGGACTGGCTGGCTTAAACTAACTGTTATGGATTTGATTGACTGATGAAGCCGTGTTTTGGTTTGACCACCACTCGCTATTTTCCAATCTGGTCCATCCTATGTCTGCTAACATTACTCGTCGAGCAAGGCGATGGCTAGAGAGACTGCGCGACACATGCATGTCCCAACTATCTCAATCGATTGATTTCCTCACTTTACCTGGTACTCGACCGATGCCCCACCTCAGTATCGCCCACCTTGTTATATCACCTAACACGGGAGACACCTAGTCAGGCTTTCCATGTCCTCCACTTTCAATGGCCATGGCTCACAGCCAGCCATAAATGATGATGAAGTGGACTGCTGAGCAGTACACGCGTCTTCTGATCGATAGCCAGTCGGATATCACGTCTACTGAGCCACAGATGGCTGAAGTTGGCATATGCCGAGTGATTGGAACTTTCGTAATACATGTTTCTTTGGAAACGAAAGCTGCTTCTTTTTCCAGTCGTTTTCAAGAATTCAGTCACTCTATTGTCGAATAGTGGAATAGTTCACTTATTGTTCTTCATTACATGAATAAACAACGCATAATGGTGCTGCACAGTTAGTTGAAACCGTTTTCCTAATACAGTTAGAAACTTTTGGTGATGTAACTAAAAAGATATTTAAGCAGTGCAGGTGTATTCATAAGCCATTCACTAAATATTCTTTTATCTTATGGCAGGGAGTGGGGTTACAATTTTTGACGTGCTTCTTTTCACACTCTTGCCGTACATCTTACTACCTTCTAGTTGGTATGTATATCCGACGTGTGACAACTTGGCCAACTACTCATTGGTGGCAGCTTCTATATGTATAGTAGGCGTGTTCGCCTACATATTTACTTCCTGATAGTCTAACATGTCATGTTTCACTTTTAAATTGCTATTTCCCACTTATTGGTTCCTCTTGATATTTCATTTCCGTAATTTTTAAAGATGTGTTCGTGTAAGGTTTATAGGTGTTTTGAGGTACAGTAATTTTCATGCTTATAAGCGGAGAATAATCCTGATACAGCACACTTGTCTTTGTCTGATTCCTTTAGCTACAATTTATAAACGCAAACGTTTAGTATTGGTGCAGTGGCTGATTTTGATGTCATTAGAAAATAATGTCTGATTAGTCTGATATACGGTAACACGGTGTTGATCTGTACACTAATTTGAACCCCACGATGAATTACTGTTCGACTTCGGATACTGGAAGAGTGAAAAATATAGTCTGACTGCTCTGATCAGGCGAACAGCTGTACTTGGATTTCCATAGTACACTATTCCAGAGTTTTGTATTACCTGTGGATGAATTCAACACAGATCATGGTTTTCGAAAACCCTCTGATAAGCAGTTTGGAGAATAGCTCCAAGAAACAAGCTGTGTTAGTGCATGGATTACAGTCGCTAGTGTGATTTGCCTTACGGAATGTCTGAAATAATGTACATTTATTACTGAAGAGATTTCAAGTAATCAGGAGTGATGCGAGTGCTGATAGTAATTTTTTGACGGTTGACTCTTCTCAGCTGCCCACATTATGAGAATTGATTTGTTGTTTCATTGTCTGAAAGAGAAAGGAATTTTGGCGGTAAATGGAAACCGAATTTGTAGTGTAAATTGGAGTCCTTTTTATTCCATAGTTTCTCATCAGCTGCAGACAGACTCCTACTCCTTTCATCATGGTTAGATTTTGTGATAGGACTCATCGAAATCATATTTGCATTCTTTGTCTGTCCCTCTGCTTATAAGTAAGTTCAGTAAGTTATTTCAGTAATAAGATCACTTTCCTTTCATTTTTTTTTACTTCAGTACATTGTTCTAAGATTGATAAGAAAGAATAATGTCATATTATTTTATTTGTTTAGAGCTTCGAAGAGATAGATGTACTTGCTAGAAATCCTATTGGGATTCCGAATGCTTCTGATGAATCGAATCAAAGTGCAAGTGTTTGTAATGTGGATGAATACATTCATCAACTAGAAGCTGATACCAACGATCCTGTGAATAATCTGTCTTCTCACATACAGTCTTTATTTTCTGATGGATGGGAAATATGCACAGATCTTTCTTCAGCTGCCTACAACCGCAATAACCCGCCAGGAACAGCTTGGGCACGTAGGCAATGTCCTTGTCTCTGTCATGTAAATGTCTCACCTATTAAGGCTGCGAGTATAATGAATCAATGCGGAAAACCTGCAAAAGTGGATAGTCTGGGTTTAAGACATTGCATTTCTTGTAGCCTAAGAGTAAGTTATTACTATTAGTTCCTAACCAACGAACTGTACACAAGCGTAGTATTTCTAGTTTTACATACGCTTTTGCTTATTTCGATATTTTAGTTAAACAATCCCAAGAAATCACCGAAAATACCCATTGAGTTATGAAGAAAATAAAAGACAGATTCAGCGAAGAAAATTTTCTTTATCGACGAAATCATCTTCATAGGCTGTACAGTCGTATTTACATTTGCTAAAATAGTATAGTAGTCTGTTATTGAGTAATAGGGGTGACATAAATGATATAATTACTCAGAAGTAGTGGATTTAGAAGTAAAGATTAAAAGTTGTCAATTACATGGTACTCAACGGCACAAAGATAGAAATCTGATAAGGTTAAAATTGCTCTCTTGAATAAGAATAAAGGTGGTATTTGAGTGTCGATTTAGTAAGTGTGAAGAGGGTGTGAAAATATACAAAAGGAGCATGTGAAATTGATAATAGTGAATTAAGTATTAAAGCAAAAGCAAACTAAAAGTAAAATTAAAAATTAAAAGTAAAAGAAAAAATCAAAATGTTTTACGGGGAAGAGGTTAAGACCAAGGTAGAATAAGGGACTGGACAAACTTTTAATGTATACAGAGTTCACAGTTGTATTGATGAATTGCCAACGCCTCCGCCATACACAAAAGCCGGAACCTGATGCCCTTTGCACCATTTGGCTTTACTTTGTAGATGATGTTGAAAGACGACTCTGGTGGAGCTACGTGGCCTGAGTTCATCAAATGCTCGAGAATTGAGCTAGTAATTATCTTGCATTGTTCCATTGCTAACCATTCCGGATAATGCTCAGGGATGCCTTTGTGCGGCCAATATAACTAGCTCCATACGAGCAGGTGAATTTATAAACACACATTGAGGTGGCCCAAAGCGGCAGTTTATCCTTCACACATCCATTGATCATTTGTCGGCTGTAAAAATTGATACATAGCTCAGCCATAAAGAAGGCTTTCCTCAGTGATCTGCGTAAGCGATTCTTCAAGATCTCAGCTGCAGTATCACCTTTAAATTCAACACTCATAAATAGTAGTTTGTTCGGTACCGTCTGGATTCTTTCAGGCTTTTTCCTTAACTTCATGTTTTTCTCGATAAATGTTGGAGGATATCCACTCTTTATGAGGACTTGTCTGAGTCGCCCCAGTTTTCCATTGATAGTATCACTCGAACATATCCTCCTTATTCTTGAAGATAAAGAATGGATCAGATTTCTCTTTCTTCTCAAATGGACCCAGCTGTGGAAATTTGTGTACTGACCATTCCATGTTGGTTTCCTGTAGATCGATCTTTAAAGAGAACCATCAGGTCTCCTCTTTAGAAAAACATCCAAAAAATGGAATTCCGAGTTAATCTGTGATTCCGACGTGAACTTGATGGCATGATAACAGCTGTTGAACTCTTTAGTTATCAATTCGATCTCGGTATTGTCGTCACATATGATGAAAGTATCATCCATGTATCTTTGGTACAGATGGAAACTGTCGATAGTTGACCGTAAAATACTATTCTCCAAACTAGCCAAGAAGCAGTCTGCAAGTAAAGGACCCAATGGTGACCCCATTGTCACTCCATCTCTTTGTCTATAAATCGTGTTGTTGAACTTGAACTGGACATTTAGAGTGCACCTCAACAGTAGTTCCTTTAAGTAGTGGATCGGGACACATACGTCTACATTATTATCCTCAATGAATTTGCATATAAAGCAGATAGTTTCAGTGAGAGGGACATTGGTGAAAAGCGAAGTAACATCCATGGATATCATTTTCCTCCCGTTTACATTAGCATCCCTTATTGAATCGACGAATTCAAACGAATCAGAAACGCTATGCTTGCAGAGGTTATTTCTGATAGGTAGGAGGATTTCTGTGAGCCATTTGGCAGTAGCATGATATGGTGAATTTGTCATGTCCAAGATTGGACGTGCCAATCCCAAGAAAATAATTGCAATAAACTTTCAAAGAAAGCTGTATTACTTCGTAATTCATTTGTCTTTTTCTCCATTCTTTTCTGTGAATTATAAGATGATGATATGTGAGACAAATGGTACGTATCATTTTATTAGACTTTCGGGAAATTAATTTAAAGCTCTGTATGGCGTTGAAATTATAGTACGTTTCCTAATACAACTCAATTTTACAAAGTAGCTGACTGTCGAATCACTAGAATTTCTCACAGAAGTCCATTTGTTCAGGTTGTTGTATTCCGAAAATGAAACAGAATGACAGGGCAGTAGAAGAAAACATGATCCACTGATGCATATTTTTAAGTTATTTCACAGCCAATCGAACAATCCCATGCTGCTTTTATATACGTTGACAGGTTTACTGTCATTTCGACTTATAAGGTACCTTTCCACATTATAAACGTCTTTATAATGATGAATGTAATAGTACAGTATTATTTAATACGTAATGATTTTATCAAAAGCTCAATCACTATTCTATTTTTTTCAGATGAGCACATTGCATGTGGAGTTTGTTTCTGCTGATGCTCCCTTTCCACTTTTTATATTGATAAGTGCTTTATTTTTTAGGTGCATCGTGGAACACTTTATATTGATGAGTGTAATCTCCACCTACGTCATGTTCAGATAACTTGGCCACCTGGTTTTAAGCCAAAAACTCGTTTACCTACAAGTGTTCCATCAAGTGATGCTCTTTCGACTCAGAACCATCGTTTAACAACAATGCAACATGCCTCAAGTATATCCACGCGTGTTGCTGTAAATGAACTTGCAAAAGTACATTCCAAATCATATTCATCAAATAAATTATCGAATCACTGCACTCGACTACCAGATATGGCTGGTAGGCGTGTTTCAGTAGAATATGTTCATACACGTAAACCGACCACACCAATAAATCATGAAATCATCCCTTCAAATAATCACGGTTATAGTGATACTCTAGGAGCAGTCGAAATCCAGTCACCGTGCAGTCTAACAGATCTGAACCCAAGATCATTTCTTGAACATAACGAAAGTGACTCAATTCCACAGGATCTACGCTCAAAATCTGGCTATTTAGAAAATCCCATAAGCTGGACACTGGATGACGAAGCTGCTTGCTTTAACACAGAGGCTTTTGCCTCTGTATCAGATGAGAACCATGAGTGCGAATTCGGTGTATTTAGTAAGAGTGATATGGATGGCTGGACCCCAGAAGAAGACAGGCAATTACTAGAATTTTGCAAGAGTAGGGGTCGTTACAGTTCTAAAATGTTCTCAATCCTGGCTGAAATTTGGGAACCTAAACCGTATGATTTCTCTCCTCAGCGGAACGCTAACGAACTAGAGGCGCGTTTCAAGCAACTGATGCGCGCCACTTTAAAGGAAGCTTACGATCCTGAACTATTTCAAACACCTCCTTCACTAAATTCATCAACTGAAAGCAGTGAATAGGCCATTATTACCATTTGGTTTTATTTGTCTTTCTTCTTCCCGTTACTTGAATTTCTCGGCTTTTAAATCTTTGTTTTCTTCCCTTATTAATGATTCAAAATTAAATATTTATGCCAATGACCTTTCTTTAATATTATATAATTTATGTTGTGTACATGAAATTTAAATTTAATCATCAAATCAAAATCAACCATGGATAACTTTGTGATAGTTTAGCCTTTAAATAATGTATATATGTTATCTGAAGGTAAGTTAAAAAAATATATTAAATGTGTGTATATAATTCATGTATCGCCGTTTATTACTGCTGTCGAAGAACCAGCATAGACGCTAAAACCTAGGTGAAAACTGTGGAATCCTCACATTTTGTAGACATTGAAAACCACCACCTCTAACAGCCCTCCGAATAGTTTTATTCACCTCTTAGAGCGTTATATGAGCTGAATAATGTTTTTTTTATTTTGAAGTGAATTGAATTAAAAGTCAATCTGAACGAAGAATATTCTTTTCAATCTGTCTGTCTGTCTGTGTGTCTGTCCGTTTTCGACATAGAACTTTGCACATATGTGCGGCAGTTCAAGTCACCACACTTCCTCCATGTAGCACACAAAGCAAGAGAAGAAAGTAGAAAAAGTGCATAATAGAGACAGTAAACAGAGGTGTGAGACAAATGAATAGTAATAACGAGGAACAATATAGTTTCATTGGAAATCATAAGTCACAAGGAGTGGATGCATCTAAGCCATTGAGAACTATTTTGAGCCGGTCATATCACCGATTGTTTCCAGCCTTCATTGGTTTTTATATTCCTGAGGACCCCAACCAGTCAGGAAGTCTACACCTTCCTACGTGGCTAGCTTAAACTAACTGTTGTAGATTTCATTGACTGGTGCCATGTTTTTGTTTGACCTCCGCTAGCTCTTTTCCAGCCTGACCCTATGTCCGCTAACATTGGCCGTCGAGGAAGGCGATGACTAGGAATACGTAACACATGTCTTAACCATCTCAGTCGATGTTGTTTCACAGCCTCGTCGGTTGATTTCCCCTCCCTCGTTACCTAGAACTCGACCGACGTCTAACCTCAATATTGCTCACCTTGTTATACCACTTCACACGGAAGATAGAACGCAGGCACCTATGATCAAAGACACCTAATCTTTTCATGTCTTCCACTCTCAATGGGCAGGTCTCACAGTCATAAAGGAGGACGAAGTGGACTGATGAGCAGTACACTCGCCCTTTGGTCGAAAGCCAGCCGGATTTCACGTCTACGCCAGAGACGGCGTAAACTGGCATATGCGGAACTAGCCCTCTGTATCCGTACTCAGCTGAGATTTCGTCAGCGATCAACCCGTTGGCGTTGGCTGATGGTACTTCCCAAATAAGGGAAGCGGTCAACGTGCTCTACCACTTCACTCCCTATTTCTAATCTAGGAGTCAGTGTAGTCCAGTCCTGCTCTGTAACATCATCTTGCATTTGGCGGGAGCGAATCGCATGCCAAACATTCGTAGATTGCAGCTCAAGGTGTTCAGAAGACTCAGCTTAGTTTTGTCATCGTTCTCGCCTAGCAGGACTATATTGTCTGCATATTCTAAGTCAGCGAGATTATTCCCTGGTAGCAAGCCAATCCCTGAGTCTTTGAAGTCAGTAGTTAGGGTTAAGTCCATGAGTACATCTATGATGAAATTGAATAGGAATGGGGATAGTGGGCATCCCTGACGGACACCACTAGTTGTCACCACTTCAGATGACAACTCGCCGTAATCTCTCACCTGGCTGACGGCATGAGTTCGAGTAGAGTGAGTGTCTTGATCAATGGAATGTATTTTCTCGGCATTCCCTTCACGGCCAAGCATCTCCAGAGTACCTCTTGGTCGACGGAATCGAATGTCGCTTTCAGGTCAAGAAATATGACGATTGTTCGACGCCGGTAAGTATGCAACCTGCGTTGTAGAAACTGTCGAAGGGTGAAGATATGATCGATACACCCTCTTCCTGCTCTAAAGCCTACCTGATTCTGGCGTCTTTGTTCCTCTCAAGCACCACTTAGTAACCACATTATTGTTCAAACTAGAACTTTAGAGACCATATTAGTCAAGCTAATCCCTCTGTGATTATCACAGGAAGACTTGTCTCCCTTCTTGTGGTGTATGGGGATAATCAATGACTTACACCAGCCCAACGGGACGTCCTCTGATTCCCAGACACTGTCTAACACCTTAGTTAACTGAGACATTAAACTCTCTCCAGCGTCCTTAAACACCACTGGAGTCATTCGACCAGCTCTTCCTCGTTTCAGACTAGCGCCAGCTTTCGTAACCTCAGTTAGGGTTGGGGACGGAGGACCGGCGTTTGTATCTCATTCATTTAGGGAGGTGTTGGATTCTCGGTTAGTTGAATGTGGCTGTAGGCCAGTTAAGTTGCCCCTCGAAGTGTTCTTTCCAGCGTTCCAGTCGTCTATCCTGAGGGCTAATTAATGTGCCATTTTCCTCGGAGGATGTTTCACTTATCATTTGCCTTTTGCCACCCGCTTCCCTGATAAGTCTAAACAGTGTCTGGTGTTACCTATCACTGATGTCTTTTCCATCTCTTTTGCTTTTGTTCCCCACCACTGTTCATGGTGGCCTTTGAACAGCGTTCGCTCCTCATCATTTTCGGAGCTCGCTGGAAACAGTATTCTTGCCTTAATCAGTTCGGATGAGGTAGTAGAAATCCACTGCCTCTTCCTGTGATAACCACAGAGGTATTAGCTTGATTGCAGATTTTTATTGATTGTAATTTCTAAAATGATTTTGTAGCGGTGAGTTTTTCTTCAGAATTATTCGCCACAGTAACCATCACTGAAAGAATGGATGGTGACTCTCACTGTTTTAGTGGATTTGTTTAGTTGAAGGCTCATGGTGAAGCATCCACGCGAATTGGTACGCTGTCGTATTCATTCGTTCGCGTACAATCCCTAGCTAGTTAAGCAATCATCTCGAAATCCGATTTGGTCCCGAAATATAATTCCTAGTTTCGACGATCAATTCTGGTGTTTAGCTCTGCCTTTGGTCTACGAGAAACAAACACTAGAGAATTCCTGGGTATTAGATCTTGCGTTAGTATACTTTGTACTATCCGTGAATATCAACAAACTTAGCCCCTAATATACTGAAAAGATAGCTACAGCTCATTCCCACCCTTGTGGAGTTGTAAGGATCCTAAGAGTAAACCAGCCAGAAGTAAAATCCCAACGGTGTTACCATCAGTAAAACTCCTCAAACACGGGTGAAAAAAGACGTCTAGGAACTGTGGTTGGAGGGGAGCAGGTTTACGAATGCATTGCATTTAGTGAGCCTGCTGCCGTATGAGGCGTGACCTACCACTGGCGAGACGCTAGAAAAAGAAATGAACCCATTTAACAGTCGCAGAGTTCTGGAATACACTAGCTCGTTAGCGGTACAAACGGAAACAGCTTTCAAAGCATTTCGTATTCTTACGAGAACTAACCGTAGTGTTTCAGGTCAATGCGAATTGCTTGTATATATATACAAGCATAGATACCGTTCAAAACATGATAACTCACCCATCAGGATTAAGATCAACTGGTATAGCAGGTAGGTAATTTGGACCGAGAACATCACATTGAGTAGGTTGTTCTGATTTGATCATGGATTCGTCGTCTAAAACCGACAAGTAGTTTGTTTCTGTTCTAGATGCTTTTTCCATCTGAGATTTCCAAAAGCAGTTTGCATTTTGCGTGAATTCAGTTAGTACATCCAACTTGCGTTTTACGCTTTCGCAGAAGTTATTATAACTTAATACATCCTCATAACCTACTTCAGTCGGAAGTCCTTCGAAAGTAAACAGTTCCTGAGGATTCCTATCAGTTAAACATGAGGTAATCAGTGGTATACCATAAGGAATAGCAAGAGAACTCATTTCATTAGCATATTGTTGCATCCTTTTAAGATCTACTTCACTCGGTTGACTTAGTTCCTTATATAGTTGAAGTAGATAACGAGTGGCAACTGATACGGGTTTTGAATCTCCTGCGTTATCTATGCTATCACGATTAGCTAACAGATTCCATCGACGAGAGCGCAGCTGTAAAAATGTACGATGTGGAAGTATATACCTACCGATTAAACGATAGGCAATATAACGTCCTGGTTGTTTATTTTGAGACTTTAAACTTCTTGAGAAGCAACGTTGACTAGACATTTTAGATTCAAGAGCTCTACGACAGCGGGTTAAAGCACCTGAAAAATCTGCCAGTCCCATTATCATCAAAGCATCTTCTGACGGATGAAATACTAGCCGAACATGACTTTTTGGATGAGGTCCCAAGACGGTAGGCATTAAATAAGCATAAGACCAAATAGGACTGTTGATCATTATATCCAATAAACAGTATGGAATCGGGAAGGCAAATGATTGCGATTTAGTCAACATATGTCCTACTCCCTGCTTATAAGGATTCCATGGTAAACGAGGAAGCATAGACAATCCAGAGTAATCAGAAATCAAATCAACAGCCATGTCTAGGGTAGGACAACGCCAATAGAAGCTAGTTACAGAATGAATTGCACCGGATACTTTTTTTTGAAGCGCGACTAAATCAAAAGCCTGACGCTTGGCAACCAAAGTTTTGAGAAGAGATGCACATGGTCGAGTCGTTGATTCGTGCATATCAGGAAAATCATAAGTGAGCAGGAAACTTGTAGTCAACAACTGTATGTGCATTCCCAATTGGCGTTCTAATCGAACTAGTTCTGTACTTGTTAATCTGAAACAACAATGGACATAACATCAATTTATGATGGCATAGAAAGAGATCGATTTAAGCGATAAATTAGCTTGTCATCCTAATAAATAATTTTAAGCACAGTTTCGTAATATACAATTTATGGATTTACAAATAGCATAGACAGCTGAATCAATATCAAACAATATTTAGCAGATAGGAAGGGGATATGTTCAACCAGTTTTACTTAGTATACAATGAAATAAACTACATTTGTACGAGTGTCATTAGTGTGAATCCGATTGCAGCTGAAGTTTTCATTCAGATTTCGATATCTTCCTTTCAAATGTAGAATGAATTTTGCAAATGGAAAATAATTCAGATACTCTATTTAACGGTATGTTAATAATTCACACCCAAATGTCTGTCATTCAATGGTCTTTCGTCGGCTTTCGGTTTTCATTCTACACATGACACATACACTCATTCTATTATGACAACCAACTTTATAAATGTCTCT